CACACACCACACACACATGTATTTCCATCTCTTGCGTGAGAATACTAAATCTGTTCTACGTAACTCGCACCAATCGTGTACGCGCGCGAAGGGCCGGAGCGAAGGGCCTAATGCCTAAGGTCTCTCTGTCCTCGTTTTCGGGAGGACATTCCGGGTCTCCGCGGGTCTCCGTGGGGAAGGAGAAAGTTAGCACCATTCGGATTGCAGGTCCAAAATGCACCGGGGTCATCACGGTCACCTTAAGAGCGATGATAGTGATATCACAACGGTGAAGATAAAGGTCGCCCTCGGGGCCGTGGTACCGCCGTGTTGCATGGCAGCTGGATTCTCCCCTGCAACGAAAAGCGAAGATACAAATATTAATTTAACATCGCGGCTCGTCCGTTTTTTTTTTCTTTTCTACTATTTTTATTCGCGACGCATTAAATTATTTCAGGGAGAGACCGCAGGTCTGAATTTTTGAAAAATATTTTGAAATGTTTACGAGAAATCGTCGCTCGTTCCCGATATTTTGCTGATATTGCATCACCGGCAGAACGTAGCAGATTAAAGTCCGGTATCATTTTTCCAGCACGCGTATTCTAACAAATATTATATTTCATACAAATTGCGGCTTATAGGAGAGGACTGAATATTGAGCGTTTGCAAAATTTGCGTTGTTAAATCGCCAACTCTTCAAATAAATCAACTCACTCGTTATATTCTCTGTGGTAAGGTAATATTAAAGTTGCGCCTTTCGAACGAAGAAAATAAACTGTGTTTCCCGACTTAAAATTTAGTAATAGAAGAGATTTCTGAGAAGATGAAAAAGAGAGAAGGCTTTAAAAGAGGTACATGAATTGTACGTGTGAAATCTCCGTTAATAACTGCGAACAATATTTCTACTTCGAAGAGTACTTCTACTTCCACTTGGAGAGCTGGTCGATAAATGTCTTGTTATTACAACGTTTCATTTGTTCGTTTCTTATCTGTCTCTAAATTATTTTTCTGTTTTTTAGTTTCCGTGTCTTGTAAAATTATTGGTCTTCTATCGTTGCAACTTTATTGCCGCTGCTTTTATGGGCTTCTATGGGTTTATTTCTAATCGTCAATCGTATTTTAATTCATTGATGCAAGAAGAACGCATGGAAACAGATATTTCAATAATAAATCGTCCCGCGTCCGAATACGATAATCTGCCGTTAAGAGTAATTAGAGTGGAAACAAGAATGCTTTTTACTTTTTACATTGTAAGCAATCTATTCTCCGCTGTAACAAGCGAAACATATTTCGTAGCGGCCAAACGGAATAACGGTTTCAATCCTTTTATTTGTTCTGTCACGGAGTACCGTGATAAAAACGGAAAGATTGGTACACACATTGATTGCTCACGCCAGGTTTTGGCTTTTGAATTGTCCAAAAATTCAAAATATAAACGCGAATTCGGTCGTCCATAAAACCCGCGGTAAAATATCAAATGCGACGCAATCTCACAGTCGTCCATCGCGTTTCAAAAGTGACAAGAATTGCGGTTTACACGAATTTCGTAAATGGCTGATCGAACCGCTTGTCGCAGTCGCAAAAAGCAGACTTCGCTTTTATCGATTAAATCATGTAAATGTAACATTCGAAAAAGAATTGCTTCGCGTTCGTATAATATGATATATAATATTAGGTATGATTTGTAATCGAAAGTGCCGAACGTGCGTTAATTAATTTTATCATATTCCGTCCAAAAGATAAAATTGAAAGTGTAATTCTAATGCACCGTTAGCCTTCTATATACACGTACGTACACGTTGTACAGTCAGGAAATTTCTCTGCAGCTTAACACACAATCCAACAATGCTGCCATAACTTTCTACATTTAATTGCAAATACAATTAGGATAATAACATACGTTTTAGCACACTTGATTTTATAACGAGTATTACGTTATCATGCCAAATGCGTGTAGATGTAGCAAAACGCATATAAATATATATGATGAACAAATTACATTAAGTTAATTCGATATTTGCATTAGTTGAGTCACCATCGTGCATATCTATTCTTTTTCCACCCTCCCTTAATTCTACAATTAACCCTACAATTCATTTGTGCTTTCTTGGCACAATCGGAATCGTTTGGCTCAATCGAAGTTTTTCTGAAGTCGAAAACATGCTACCCACGTACTTTTAGCGGCTGGTCATACGAACGACTACCTCTCCCCAAGATTCAATTAAACGCTGCCGGTCTGAGAAAAATTTACAACTCTGTTTACGCGCCTTCCCGGTAAACCGGCTCTTAATCCCGGATTTTCGTCTCGTTAATTGAATCGTCTGAATCCTCACTGAGGTCAGACGTTTCATTTTATTGAAAGCGCTTTCGTTAATGCAGCAAAGAAATATATTCTTAATCATCATCGAGAAGAATTGATTGCATTTTATATTAGAACTTTGTTCTCGAAATAACATCAATATGTACATGTATATGTGTATTATTACATGTATATGTAATAATAAGAGAGAGATCAAAGAGAATTTTAAGCCACGTGGAATATTCAATAGTTTATCTAAACGGTGAAAATCTATTCATTTGACGGATTATGCAGAGTATTTCGCCGTTCGACCTCTGCTTAATTATGAATTAATCAACCGATCACTCATATACCGCGCGCATACATACATACATACATACATACATACGTACGATATCTCGTAATGTGGCGTGCAAATACGACATAATTTCATTGACTTCGCTAATCACGTTGCAAGTACAGTACCCAATATGCTATTCGGACATTAATAAATTTACCAAAGCCGACCGCACAACTCGGACTTTGTTTGATGTTCGTTCTATCTCCCGTAATTCCGGTGCGAACATATCTGTTAGATTTCGAGGAGGCCCGTGAACTAATCTGAATTTCGAATTACCACAACCGTTTGTTCGGGTATATACTGAAATTAATTGGTGTCGTATCGCTGTCTTGTGCGTCGCGGGTGCAAAACGTAGATTTTAATTTGTGCTACCGTCGAGTCGAGAATTGTATAATATTCCACGTAACCACGCGATTAATCACACACTCGGCGACTCGGAGATGTCATTTGTTTTTTTGTTCTGTTTCCGCCGGTCTCCGGGAGGGCGGCCCGGGCCGAGACTTAAAGAATCGCCACCGTGGAAAGAGGCGGATGCGAAATGAGCTGTCAAGCGCCCTCCGGAGATTCGTTCTGTGTATTATACATGACCTCGTGCGCGTGAGCGCACGCGCGCGGGAGAGCAAGCCTGTTAACTACGTCTTGCGACGAGAGCTTTGCAAACTCCTCACGCCCGGTCTTACGTCGGCGAACGTAAGGACGCTGAGATGAGGAGAGAAAGAGAGGGTCAAACGACTCGACGGAGCACAGCAGTGATGCCGAAGAGACGAAGGCAGACTTCCGTGTCACAGAAGGGATAGAGGCGGGTCGACGTGTAGTCCTCCTGGAGCCTGCGGCTACGATTATTAATGGGTAGGGCGTGACACCCCGCGAAATAACCTCTCTACCCCCGCTTCTGCGCGCGCGCGCACACACACACACACACACACACACACACACACACACACACACACACACACACACACACACACACACACATAC